GGCCAACAGAAAGGATCTGGGAGAGGCTGGAGGGTACTTTTGGCAATCAGGGAAATCTCACTGGTTTTGAGGGCTTAGGATTCTCCTATTAGCAACCACTTGCATATTTCCAAACCTGGACTGTTTCTCTAGTCCTCGGTTTCTGCTGAGTACCTGGGCTCCTAAGCATTGAAGATGAGCTGAAGTCGACTTTCTTTTTTCATCTCCGGTTACAGCCTCAATACTTCTGACAGAATTCTTCAGTGCTACGAAGAGTGAGAGTAGTTCTGGGGGCTCTCCGATACATCATGAGGAACCCTTTTACCAGCTTGTGTGTGCAAGGAGTATGTGTTACCATTTTGCTTTTACCCTGTAGCAAACCACCAAATAACCTACTAGCTGAACTCAGGTTACCAAAAGCCTTATGCAGATGAACTTGGTATAGCTCAGTTCTGCTGATTTCTATTGGTCAAAGTGAGTCCTAAGCCCAACTCACATAAAATGGGAAACAAAGACTCCATTATTTGGGGAATAACTTCAAAAAAGCTATGGCTGTTTGTAATCCATTACAAGATGTGCTGGGACTTTGTCAAGGGGCCTGATCTTGATTCCCCACCTAGATCTGTCCAGTGGCTCATGAGAGCCTGCACTTACTTTAGGATCTCAAGTGAAGCTCAGAGGTGCATGGTGGGAGACACTATGCAAATACATCATCCACTTAGGTGCAAAGAAAGGGTATTATCAAAGACTTAAATTCAAAAACTAAATTGCAAGTTTTAGGATAGCAACTAAAAAGTAATGGAATGTATAAATTTCAAGCATAAAGATTAAAATCTTTGCAATGAAATGTAATCATGAGAAAGCACAATGAGACAAATAACAAGGTATGAGATGACTCCAAATTTATTACTAACTACATTACACAAAATGGACTAGATGTTCCAGAAAAGAGAAATTTATTGTTAGTCCAAAGTTTTCAAGTAATCAGATATTTTTAATCTCTAGCTAAAATATATATAAAAAGACACACCTGGGCATCAAGGGTAGCTCAGCAGAAGAGCAAATGCTTAGCACGCCCAAGTCCTAGGTATGACCCCATTACCCAAAACAAAGACTAAGAAAGAAAATAAAACCAACCCAATATGGCCATACAAATACCTAACAATTAATGCAATAGAAAACATGAAAAGAGTTAAACTTTCTTAGCCTTTTTTTTAACACCCCCCCCACCCCAGTACTAGGGATTGAATCCAGGGCCTTGTGCATGCTAGGCAGGCACCCCATCACTAACTATATCCCTAGCAGAAAGGTTAGTTTTCAAGATAAATCACAAACCTGGCTTATAAAACAACTCAGTGGTACAGCACTCAGTACACAAACACACTGGGTTCAATCCCCAGCACAGCAACCCTCCCCAAAAAAAGGAAAAGAAGAGAAAAATGACAAACAATACTTTCTGTCAAGACAAACACAAGAGAAAGAATGCACAAAGTAATTATTCTAGAATGCAAAAGAGGCCTAAAATTATATAGCCAGAAATGTTAAAAATACAACTAAAAATATATAAACTTTTGCTCCACACGTGAAACTTGCCTAGGAAAATATACTCAAAATGCTTTATGATTTTGGAAACCTTAGTTGTTCTATAACCATAAAAGAAATGGAGCAGACAGCTTAAAATCACAGAAATGGGTTACCTAAAAAGAGAATTACAGTTATTCTACATCTGGCTAACTTAACAAGTTACAAACAGAAAAGATGGGGAGACGACCCTGTAGGGTATATGATACTGTCATAACCTAAAGTACCAGAAAGTTCATTTGTTTTTGTTTTTGTTTTTGTTTTTGTTTTTTTTTGGTACCAGGAATCAAACTCAGGACCTTGCACTTGCCAGGCAGGTGCCTGTGCCACTGAGCTACATCCCCAGCCCTGAAAGTTCATATTTTTGATGGTGCCGATGCCTCAACCCAGGGCCTTACACAGGTGTGTTCTACCTCTGAGCTACGTCCATGCATCTTTTGGGGGCGTTCTGGAGATAGAACCTAGGACCTCCTGCATGCTAGGCAAATGCAGTACTATGGAGCTACATACACCCTTGGCCCTTCCCCATTTTTTTGGTGGTATGGAGATTGAGTCAGGACATTCATACACTAAGCTACAACCCAAGATCTTTTTTTTTTAAGTTTTATGTTGAGACAGAGACTCATTAAGTCACTAAATTGCCCAGCCTAGGCTTTAACTGGCAATCCTGCCATAGCGTCCCAGAGTACTTGGGATTACAGGTATATACTGTATGGCTTTTTTGTTTTTAATGTAAGAAAACTTCCTTGCCAATGTTACTCAAACATTACAAAAGCCTTTTATAACACATTAGTAAACATAATCAAGTAATAACAATGGTCTATAATGTCCAAATTGAGTTTACTGGGAATCCATGGTTAACATTAGGAAATCAATAAAGAATAAAAATAATGACCACATTTAAGAGTCTTTTCATTCATTCATATATTCAAGTATTTATTATGTATTATGGGCCAGTTGCAGTTCTAGGTAGTTGAGTCAGATGATTATAATAAAGGGCCTGGTGTGGTGCATACAGTCTACAATCCCAGCACTTGAGAGGCTGAAGCAGGAGAATCACTACAAGTTTGGGGCCAGCCTGCCTACAAAGTGAGCTCAAGGTTGGCCTGAACTACATAGCAAGATCCTTTTTCAACAGAAACAAAACAAAAAGAGAAAAAGGATGCAGAGAAAGCAACCAAATCGAAGAGGACCAAAGCCTCATACATTATGGTATTGGGAAACATTTAACTGTATCAAGATTGAATATTTTTTTAAAAAAACTATAGCAAACAAGGATATCAACAGAATGGAGAGTACATCTCAATAGAATTATGAAGAAAAATTTGCTGCTTTTACTAAGTAGTGTTAGTAATGAGCTGAGATCATGATCCTATTTTTTAAAAAAGCTAATAACTGAAGTAGAGTAATACAGTGATTATCTACAGATGATACGATTGCGGTGTGGAAAACAAAGAAAATGTATACATAAATGCCCTGAGCTGGTGACTCCCAAAATTCATGTACTGAATCTAAACTCCAGTGTGACCGTGAAGATAGGACCTTATTTTATGGTTGAGGTCAAGAGTGAAGACCTACCTGGGTATGACGGCACCCACCTGTAATCTTAGCACTTGTAGAGAAGCTGAGAAGGATGGCAAGTTTGAGATCAGCCTGGGCAACAAAGCAACAGAGTGAAACCCTGTCTCAAAATTTATACTGGGAATCAAACTCATGACCTCAGGCTTGCCAGTCAAGTGCTTATGCTGCTGAGCTACATCCCGGGCTCCCGTCTCAAAATTTTAAAAAACACAGCAAAACCTGTCTCAAAATAAAAAACAGAAAGGGCTAGGGATGTAGCTGAGTGTTAAGGCCCTGAGCAGGGACCTACCTCCTTCTCAGTCTCCATTATGGGAAGACACAATCAGAAGGCAATCAACTGCATGGCAAGAAATGAACCCTCACCGGAAGTCAACTTTGTTGTTACTCCTAATCTTATACTGCCAGCCTCCAGGGATGGGAGAAAACAAATTTCTGTATATTTCATTTATTGAACAAATACATTTTATTCAAACAAATTTTAAGCTATGTGATCTAAGTATGTTAATTTGTTATGGCAGACAAAGCAATTCATGACAGATTTTGATACAGAGGTGATATTGTAGTAAAAAACATGCAAGCATGAGACTGAATAATGGGTAAAGGCTGGAAATGCTTTTATTTTTCTTTTTTCTGGTTTTTTGAGACAGGGTCTCACTGTATAGTTTAGGCTGGCCTTGAACTCCTGCCAGTACTCCTGTCTCAGCCTCCCAAGTGCTGAGATTACAGGTATGTATTACTACGGCAGGCCTGGAAATTTTTAAGTGCATGCTAAGAACACTAAGAGCTATTCTGATGATTTACATTTGGGAGTGAAAAACATGTTATCAGAAAATGGAGAAGAGCCAGGTTTGGTACCAAATGCCTGTAATTCCAGGTATCCAGGACACGAAGGCACAAAGACTCCAAGTGGGAGGCCAGAGCTGGGCAATTTAGCAAGATCCTATTTCAAAAAGTAAAAAAAGCTGAACATACTGGTATGTGCATATAATAACAGCATTTTTGGAGGCGCAGGTTGAAGATTAAGTCCAACCTGGACAACTTAAGAGAATCAGTGAGACCCTGTCTCAAAAAAAAGGGGCAGGGTTGGGGATACATATAGCTTAGTGAGAAGGCCCTGGGTTCAGTCCCCAGTACTGAAAACATAAAACAGTAAGGGCTGGGGCTGGGGCTTAGTGCTAGTACTTGCCTAGCATGGGTTCAATCCCAAGCATTGAAGGAAAAAGAAAGGAAAGGCAGATGGAAGCGGGGAAAGGAATTAAAGGAGGACATGGTGGAGCATGCCTATAATCCCAGCACTTGGGAGGCTGAGGCAGAAGGATTGCCACAAGTTCAAGGCCAGCCCGAATTATATAGTGAGTTCAAGGTCAGCCTGAACGACATAGCAAAACCGTCTCAAAATAAAAAAAAAAAAAAACTTAAAAAGGCAATCCTTGATATGTAATGGTAAAGACATCGGCAGAATTCTTGCAATTTGCATTCTTGCAATTTGTGACAGGTACAGCTGGGGAGTAATGAAATGGGAAATTCATCTAAGATCATAATTCATCTGTTGAAGGAGCAGCTTGGTTCCTCCGTACAAGTTTCACTAAAATGCAAAAAGGGAGTACTAAATCCAACAAGGAACTGTTAACCAAAAGGGACCAGAACTTGGAAATTTGGAAATTTCTCAGCTTATGCATATTGCAAAAACTGAGAAAGCGTGAATTGAAGAGAATATTAAGAGTGTGACTAAAAAGCCCCTTGATAAAGAGATCATGGGTCTGGGGATTTAGCTCAACGGCAAAAGCGCTTGCCTGGCAAGTGCAAGGTCGTGAGTTCGGTTCCCGGTACCGGAGAAAAACCAAAAAAAAAAAAAAGAGATCATGATTAGGACCCACGGGTAGGATATCAGCAATCTCAACAGAAGAGAAGAATAGACTGAATTACACTAACAGAGGCATTGCCACTTAGATCTAAAATAGACCTAAGTGGGCAAGACAGGATGGACTTATTAAGATTTTATAAGGAAACAACAATTGGCTACAAAGTTAGACTATGCATTAAAAGTACAGAGGGCTTCTTGGCATGCTCAACACGATCAATGGGGTCAGGGGAGACTCCTGGAGGAGTGTCTGGCAACAGTCCACTTGGGTCCTGTGCTTAGCTTATCAACTTAGCTTCCGGTAAATTTTCACATGAATAGCTACATTGGCGGCCACTAACCAACAACAGCTAGGACGAAATCTGTGCATTTATCTTATGCAGACATGTTCAACCTGTGGCCCACAGGCTTGTTGTTATTCACTTTACTATTATAATACTTTAAAATAAAGGAACTTTGTTATATACATTATTATATGTGGCCCAAGACAGTACCTCTTTAGTGTGGCCCAGGCAATCCAAAAAGTTAAACTCCCATGCAGAGCATTCATGGATGCTACCATCACTTGGAATCCAAGCACCACGATGAGGCCTACCTACAGTATTGACCTCACCTATGACCACAAGTGCTCAGACTCAGTTTTGTAGAAACAAGTTCCAGAGAGGAGGCTAAGAATTTAGTTCGGTGGTAGAGTGACTGCCTGTCATGTGTATGTGACACAGAGATTAAACCCCAGCACTACAAAAGGAAGGAAAAAACCCAGACATTCCCACAAGAGGGGATCTAGGCCGGGGGTATAGCTCAGCAACGTAGCACCTGCCTGGCAGGCACAAGGTCCTGAGTTCCATTCCACAACTACCCTCTAAAAAGGAGGGAATCTATATATCGTATGTCATAGAATCAGGGAGGCATCTCTGCCAGTGGGAACCACTATAACTCAAAGCAGATAAGACTAACCAATGATCTTTGGTGCCACTGTTACTATTTAAGGGTGGCCACAGAGGAGCTAAGGGTAACACTGATACCCTCACATTTATAGGCCTTCTCCCCATGGTGAACACTTGCATGTTTGCTTAAGCGTGAGGAAACAGCAAACGCTTTCCCACATTCCTTACAGATGTAAGGTTTCTCTCCAGTGTGCGTTCGCATGTGAATGTTAAGGGATGTGGAGTATACAAACGCCTTCCCACAGATATTGCACACAAAGGGCTTTTCCCCACTGTGAATTTTCATATGTTTAGTACGGTGGGAGGCAGTAATGAAGGTTTTCCCACAATGAATACACTCAAAAGGCTTCTCGCCTGTGTGTGTTCTCACATGGTGAATAAGGCCTGAGGTCCTAGTGAAGGCTTTCCCACACTGCTTACACTGAAAGGGCTTCTCTCCACTGTGAATGCGTACGTGGGTGGCAAGGCCTGAGTACTGAGTGAAGGCTTTCCCACAGTCCTTACATTCATAGGGCTTGACTCCAGTGTGTGTCCTGGTGTGTTCATTAAGCTGAGTGGATCTCGAGAAGGCTTTCCCACATTCCTTACACACAAAGGGCTTCTCTCCACTGTGAACTCCTCGTAAGTGTTCAGTCAGGCCTGACCACCTCAGGAAGGCTTTCCCACATTCCACACATTTGTACGACTTTATTCCAGTGTGAATTTTCCTGTGATCGTTAAGGTATGTGTTACTTGTAAAGCACTTCCCACACTCTTTACACTGGAAGGGCTTTTCTCCAGTATGAACTTCCATATGAGCAGAAAGTTGAGTAAAAGTAGCAAAACATTTCCCACATTCCTTACATTTTTGGGATTTCTCTCCAGAAGAAATTGTTACATATTGACTTAGGTGTGAGGAAAAGGCAAATGCTCTCCAACACTCCTCACATTCACAGAGTGTTGCTTCAGTGTGGGTTTCCATGGGATTAGTAAGGCATGGAAAATACTGGAAGCTCTTTTCATATTCCTCCAATTTGTAGGGGTTTTCTCCATTGAAAACTTGAAGATCCATAGCAAGGCTACACCTCCGGCCCTAGGAAAACATGAATTTTAAAAACATTATAAACCAATCCATTTGCATTTGGCTCATCAACATTTTTCACGATACTAATAGGGACTGATAACATCTGTCACTCCATTGCGTTGTGGAGATGTTCAAGATGAGTACAATAGATTGACTTGGTCCCTGAAGGCAAACATTCATAAAGGTGACAACTAGGAAGAGATCTATTAGGGATATGATGAGGGTTTGGAACATAGCCCATAACCAGGCACTGACACCCAGGAATACAGATCAGACACTTAAGAATTTAAGATACACTTTTGAATATTGATTATGTTGTGACATATTTTTACCTCTTGGTCTAGTCCTCAAAGAATGCTGACAGCAGCACTTAATCAAGAGCATATCTGTTAGCTACTCCATTTGAACTACAGACCCCTTGCTGTATAATAGATCATGTTTTGTACAGACTTTAAGCAAGACCCCAAAATGCCAGTGAAAGGTGCCACTTAGCAAATAGATGACTTTCTCTGACAAAGGATGCTGGACTGGTGCCAATGCTGGCAGCACCAATATCCATGGCACATCCTATTGATATGAATCAAGTACAGTTGTATACATGTTAACAGCATAACCTGACATAGTTTCAGTTATTCATGATTAACTAGTGTTTGAAAAAAGAACTGAAGAGGGCTGGGGGCTGTAGCTTAGTGGTAGAGCGCTTCCTCCAGATTGCACAAAGTCCTGGCTTCACATTAACAGGACCACAAATAAAAAGTAAACATAGGACAATAAAATAACTTGAGCGAGACTATATTTACACAGCTTTTATTACAGTGTATTGTTATGATTGTTTAAATTGTATTATTACTATTAATGTCTATTGTGCTTAATTTATAAATTTATCACAGGTAGGTATATACAGAAAAAAACAGTATGCATAGAGTTCTATACTGTCAGCAGTTTCACCATTCACTGGCAGCCTTAGAAAGTATCCTTGTGGATGAGGGATGGACTACTATATTGTCTATTTTGCCCAGAGACCTTCAGAGGGAGAGAAGTACCAAATGAAAGGATCATGAGAATGCCCAGTGTGACCACTGCATATTGGGGCATCACTTCATTAGAGAAAACCTGAGCAAAGCCAGCAAAGAAAAATATGTAAGGGCTAGTGCTAGTGATCTGGGTTCCCAATGGAACCTAAAGGTTTAATAAATGGGAAAACATTAATAAAGGGAAAACGTACTTTCAGAATATGCTACTGCTGGGGATGTAGCTCAGTGACAGAGTTCTTGACTGACAGGATGTGGTACTGAGTTGAAATACGGGGAAACAGTGATGGTAGTGGGCAGTGTCTGACCATGCCAGGTTGTGGGTAGTACCACACTTGAGAGGGTAGTAGGAGGCTTCAGGCAGTGGGTGCTCATCTGCAGAAGTTTAGGAGTTGAATGATACGTAGATATTTCCTAGAGAAAGCCTTAATTTTGATTACTTTTAGTAATGTGTACCAGATTTCTCTAAGGATGGAAGTATAGGGATGTACATTTTGGCAGACAGTAAAAAATGTACCTGAGTCACAAGCTGAGCAGCTTGGAAAAAATAGCAGAATATGTAGTCTCAGCTACTCAGAAGACTGAGGCAGCTGGGTGGGGTGGTGCATGCCTATAATTACAGCATTCAGGAGGCTGAGGCACTAGGATCATTGTGAGTTTGAGGCCAGCCTGGGCTACACAGTGAGTTCAAAGCCAGCATGAAATTGCAGTGAGACCTGTCTCAATAAAAAATTTTAAGAAGAAAGCTGAAGCAATAGGAGCACTTTGAAGCCAGCTTGGGCTATTCAGTAAGACCCTAGCTCAAGGAAAAAAAAAAAAGGCTACGGATGTAGTTCAGAGCTGGGTCTGATCCCAGCACTATACACATATACATGCACTATACACATATACAAAGGAATTGTGATACAGCTCCATGGAAAATCACCTTCCTAATGAGTATGAGGCACTGGTTTAATACTCAGTACTGCAAGAGGAAAACAAAACACAAAAATAAAGTATGTTCTGTATGCAATCTGGGCCTTCTAAGAGGCAGTCTGTGGGCACTGCAAGAATATAGGTTTCAGTGAAAGGGGCACAGTTGTCTTCAGCAAAGGACACCTCCTCTCTAACTATGGGGTCTTCAGTTAGGACAGCATCACATCCAGCCGTAAGATCCTATGCAAGATTAATCTCATGTGGAATGTGGGACTGGTTTAACCTTTCCAAGCAGATCCCCACTAACACTGAAGTGAGTCTTCAGATTACAAATGAATGAAAATTGCAGCACAGTATTACTAAGACCAATATGCAACAAAGTGTGCAGCTGTACCTGACAGGAATTTTTGGTTTTGGTGGAAGGTTAGGTTCCAGTGGGTCTCAAACTAGATGAATATCTGCCTGTGCTGTGGAATAATCTATGGCTTAACAAGTGTCAAGGAAGAATGTGTCTTCTCTAGCTCCAGCCCTTATGTGAAGTGGGTAAAATGGAAAATTTATCAAAACAGGTTAAAGAGCCAAGCATGGTTGTACATGCTTGAAATCTCAGCACTCCAGGAAGCTGAAGCAGCATGATTGCCAGTCAAATGCATCCTGGACAACTTAGTGACTTACTGATACCCTGTCTCAGAAAAGGGGGAGGGGGGCATCAGCATATAGCTCAGCGGCACAGCACCTGCCTGTCAAATGCAAGGATCTGAGTTCAATTCTTGGTACAAAAAAAAAAGATCTGGTGATATAGCTCAGTGTGAAGTTCCTGGGTTCTGACCTAAACATCATAAAAACAAAAACAAACAATACTGGGACAAGATAATGTATTTAGGAGTTTATTTATTGTACTGGAAATTGAAAGTTATTTGAGATCCTCAGGATTGTCAGTTTCTGTGACCTGTCAGACACTGGAAGATCTACTGAATGCCTCTTGCAAGGGGCATATATTGAATAAAATCTTCACAGTTAAAAAAGCACACCTGAGTTACTATAAGAAATGTGTGAAATTCTGAAGGGAAGAGAGCGTATTCTTTTAAGAACTTTATGTGGTGGCGGTAATGTGTGTAGAACACGTGTAGGGTTTTTTATTTCAGTGCTGGGCATTGCATCAAGAGCCTTCACATGCTGGGCAAACTCTACCACAGAGCTACAGCCTCACCCTGCAGGTGCAGTTTTGATTCCTATTTTGTGTACCCCACGATATCATAGACGTTTTGGTTGATTTTGACCTTTTTTTACCTCAAGAAGAAAATCTTTAGCCACTGCTCACTAGTTTATAGTATGGGTGAAAATGGGACAACCTGTTGTCCACAGCATCCAATGTTAAAGATGTCCATCTGTCTCAAGTTTGGCCAAGTGTGTTGCTTCCTGCATCCTGCTCTTTATTAGGTCCATCCTGACTAAAGATATGAAAAACATTAGCTGTGAGGAAACTCCATCCCCTGTATGATGGTTAGTGGTGATGTCTGACAGTCCACAAACTCCCACTGTCTTTCACACAGTCAATCCCAAGAATCTCTTTAGATACCCACAGGGTCTAGGAGAGGAGTGACCTCACATACCCTGATGTGTCAATAGACAGAGGACAGGAAAAGTCACTGCTGCAGGTAGAATATATCAGAGGGCCCACATTGGGTTCCATACTGTGTTAGGACTTAGGACTGCCTTGGTACCTATGTCAAGCTTGTGGGGCATCCATGATCCACAGTAAAGTGGGCAGCTGGGTATGGATGGTCTCAGGCTCAGCATCTGTCAGGGCATGTTTCCTGCACAGCCCACTAGGTGGCCTGCCAATTGTTCTTTTAATGATGTATGGCAGAAGGCTGAGAGGAGCAATTTTTCCCTCCTGTGGTAGTGGAGATTGAATCCAGGGGTTGAACCTTTCCACTGAGCTACATCCTCAACCCTTTTTTCATTTTTCATTTTGAGACAAAGTTGCCCTAAATTGGTAAGTTACACAGGCTGGCTCCTGCCTCAGCATCCCAAAGTGCTAGAGTTACAGGCATTCATCATCATCCCCAGCACAGAGAGGCAATTTTTTCCATCAGACACCTGGGATAAATGAGGACTATCTGAGAGGTCCACAAACTCCAGGAGGCATAAGAACAGATTACCAAAGCCTCTACAGTGAAGAATCATCTAAAAACACTAAAACGAGTGGCTATCCATTTCAACTGGTAAGTAAAACCTGTACATTAAAGATGTATTCCTACCAGAACTAAAGGACTAAAAGATGTTGGACTTATGTATCAGTAATAAGTATGCCATATGAATGCTATGGAAGAGGATTTTATCAATGTCACATCATACCTGTAGTCCTGGAGAAAAATGAATACAATTAAGATGTTTTCTGCATAGACTGTGTGATGGAAAATTGCAGAGGCACCCCACAGGTAGCCTGGAAAAACTGTAGTGTGTCCCTGTTGAGGTGGAAGCACACGGCAGCTGAGAGGCTGTTAAAACAGGCACAGAAAGGAACATGTTAGCCAATATATAAGTGCAAAATATTCACTAGTCGTTGACTGAACAGAACCACAAATTTTCATATTATTAGGTACTGGGGGGCTGGGGATTTAGCTCAGCGGCAAAGCGCCTGCCTGGCAAGCGCAAGGTCGTGAGTTCGGTTCTCGGTACCGGAGAAAAACCAAAAAAAAAAAAAAAAAGTACTGGGCACAGGGGTCTTTTTATCAGAGCTACAGCTTTAAGGTTATGGTAACACACTGAAAGGTGCTATTTATGTATTATCTATCTGATCTATCAATCTATCAAGTCTACCTATATTATTATCAGATTTAACAGAAGTCAACACTGGGAGGAGGGGGGATAATCACACTTTATGTATTACTTTTTAGAGTTCAATTTTAGTCCCTGAAAACCCCATTTTAATTTATATTGAGCCATACTTACTATTTTAATGAGAATACATGGGATTCCCTATGTCAAATCAATTATAAAAATAAAAAATTTAATGTTAATTTACTATCTGTTATATCAAAACATCTATACTCAGTATAGAATATTTTAGGGCAATGGGTATTTGCCATTTTTTAATTTTTTTAGGGCAAGAGAATATTTTGCACCAGTGGGAAATTTAGACAACTAAACATTTATTCAGAGGCATATCCAGCTGGGTGTGGTGGGACACACCTGTAATCCAAGCTCTTGGGAGGCTGAGGCAGGAGGGTCACTGTGAGTTTGAGGCCAGCCTGGGTTATATAGTGAGTTCAAAGTCAGTCTGAACTACAGAGTGAGACCCTGTCTCAAAAAACCAAAAAAAAAGCATATCCAATTTCATCCATTTCATTAGTAACTGTTTTAAGATTATAAAAGGCATAATGTTTAAATTTGGTGAGATATCTAGGTATAATTTCAGTTGTTACAAAAGTCCATAAATTTCTGTCCAATTGGTACCTACAGTAATTAAAGTTGTTAGGTCCTATGTCACACGTTTATATTGTTATATCAAAATTAACTACAAATTTTAGATTTTGAAATAATCAAATTAGAAAACTTTTTGTTGTTTACATATAATGAAAATTTATTACATTACTTACCTTAAGATATAGATATATATACAGATTCTACTTCATTAAATTATATTTCATCCTCTTGAATCTAGAAGTTTATAAAACAGTAACTGACATATGACTACCATTATGCACATGACCTGGCATTTCCTCGGTATACAGAGTTTAAATTTCCTTCATTTTATCCCTTGGTATTGAGGAACAGGTTCTTTGCTCTTTTTCCATTTTTTTCTTTCCTTTTTGTTTCACATGTTTAGGTACCTAAGTCCTAGGCCTCTACTGTCTCTCCCTGAGTAATAAGAAAAGATGTAGGCTTGAGAGGCTCAGGCAAGAAAATCAAAGTTTGAGACCAACCTCAACTATACAACACAACCCAACTCAGAAAACTGGAGAAAGAGAATGGCAAGAAGTTTAGCAACAGAAGACTTGTATAGCATGTCCAAGGCCCTGAATTCCATATCCTGAACCCCACCCCATCTCCTCAAAAAAAGATGGAGGAAGGGGAAAGGGCCAGGTGACTCATAGCAACCTCTCCTTGTCATGACTCTTTGTCTTCAGGATAGCTACTCAGTACTCTCACTACCTTTTAAAATTATCTTATCCAAATCTTTTTAAATACTTTCCACCTCTAGGCAAAAGTATTTTTCTTCTTTGTTCAAATATCTGACTAACAAGATCCTGAAAATACAGAACAGTCCCCTGCTGTAGAGTCCATAGCAACTTCAGGGTGCTGGCGTCCACATCCCGGACAGCACCGGGATTCTGGATGTGTATCTGCCTCGCTGTTACTTAGGTATATAGGAGCTACTTGTTATACCCAAGCTGTATGCTTCCACGGACACCAGCATCCAACAACTCAGAAAATGCTTCACCTGCATTTATGGCACTCACACACCACTGACTCTAGTCAAGGAAGCCCTTTCGCTGCGCAGTCACCTCAATCAGAGCAGGTCCCTGCAACCAGCTTGACTGATCAGATACCTGTCATGTACAAGTAGCTCATCAAAATGAAAGATGAAAAACCTTACTGAAAATTCAGTTACCTGCCAATGGGGACATAATCCTCTGAAAGGAAGGAATCTGTCTCAGAAAAAGATGGCTATGAATCAGAGAGCTCTATAGTACTACTCCCCACAACCAGAACATACAGCTCCAAGAACAGATAAGCTAACATTGAAATGGATCTGGTGACAACTTTGCTTCTGATTTCAGTAACTAAGAGCTGCAGGTTTGAAGATCTCTGTCTCTAATGTGGACTCTTTCAGCTAGAGGCCACAATTATGTTCCCAATACAGTGGAAAGTCAGACTGCTTGTTATGGTTTGTTGCCTGTTATGGCTTGTATCTAGATGCCCCCTAAAAGCCTCAGGTAGTCATAAGTGGGGCTTTTTGGAAGTGGCTGGAACTAGGGTGTGTGCTGCTGGGATTAAGGATGTGATTCTGGGATTAAGATTGCCCTACCATGGGTGTGAGTGCTACCTCCCCTAAGGTAGCCTGGATGGAATATAAGGGACAGAAAGAGGGCTGCTGCCATTGCTTGCTCTTCACTGCTTTGCTGTGGACTGTTTCTCCTCTATAGTGCCCCTCTGCCAAGCCACCCTGCCTTGGAACCAGCCAACTATAGACTGAAATCTCTACAAACTGTGAGCTAAGCAAACCTTTCCTTTAACTTTGGGTGTTCGGTATTTTGTCTCAAGAAAAATAATTAAGACATTACCTAAACATTTTGGGCCCCCAATACCATTAAATTAAGATGGGTTAAGGGGATGTTAATCTACTGGCAAGAGTGACAGATCACAACTACCAAAGGCAAATTGGAGTACTACTATAAAACAGAGACAAGGAGAACCAAGTGGAGGAGCCACCTCGTAACACTCAAGCTATATGGTAAAGAGTAGAAGAAAATTACAACTGAAAAAGAACAGGCAATGAAGGACTTACAATGAAGGAATTGGAAGTGAATATTTGAGTCACTCAACCAGGTAAAGAACCCACAGCAGCTAAGGGTGGGGCTGAGGTAAAGGAATTATGAAATTGGTCATGGATGAAGTAAACCCTGCATATAAGCCACACCCTCAAAGTCTATTACAGAAACAAAAATTGTGGTAGTAGTGCCTGTTTTTTCACTTTGAGTATTACATGCATTATGCAAATGTGTATATAAACTATTCATTTGCTTCTCTCACCTCCCCAGTTCCATTTCATATACAAGTCAGGGATAAATTTACAAATCAAGTCTGTAGCTAAAAGGATATCCATTGGGAATGGGATTATATCTAAGTAAAAGTTAACATGGCCTGTGATGGGGTAATGTCTTCCTTTTCACTTAAGAGAAGGGTGAGAACTGCTTCCCTTGAATCTTGCTAGGTAGAAATACAGGGCTGTTTAATTATTACAGGGAATTCACATCTGGGTAGAAGAGTGCATGTGGGTGATGAGCAGCTAAAGTGTAACTATGCCACTTATCAGTTTGTTCAGTCAGACTGACCTTCACGATCTGCTATGGAATAAAGGGCTGGATTCTTCACGTATCTATCTTTAACATAAAACACTTTCAGCTCTGTCAGGTGCAAGAGCACTGGATGGACAACTGGTAAGTAATGTGGGGTCAGGAGGACATCTTGCATTAACAGGTCCATCCCATCTGCTCAGAATGCACAGCTCCTAGGTGATCTCAAAGGCCTGACCCACTGTCCCCTCCCCTGACCATCCCAGCACACACTGAACATTCAAAGGACTTCCATTAGGAGAGGCGTCCTCTGCACACAGAGCAACAAACTTGATGGCTTCTTTCTCTCTCCTTTACAACAGACACTGCATTCTACAGTGCAGGCTGCACCTGCACACAACTTCCTCAGCTGTCGCCCATGATAAGACTGTGCCCTGAGGATTTTACCATTGAAATACTGTGTAGAACTTTCCTACCTTACCTTATTCACTCTCTTACCTTGGAGTTGTCCCATATATTACATTCACATAACTTGAAATACTCATTAAGTTATGATACCAACAACCACATTATATAAAAACATCAAATGTACAATATACTGCATTATATTTAGCCAGATCCTTGCTGTTTCTGTTGCTTCCCTTTCATTCCTAATATTCCAAGTTTGTGCTAGTAAAACTTCTTGTCCAAGACCATTACTCATAATTATTTATTTATTTTTCATAATTTATTTAAAGCAGGGCCGGGGATATAACTCAGTGGCACAAGTGCCTACCTGGCAAGCACAAGGTCCTGAATTCGAGTCCCGGTACCAAAAAAAAAATTATTTAAAGCAGATCTCTAGGCAAAGATTCTTAGTACCACATACTCTGATAAAGCGTTCCATTTTTTGAGATAGGGTCTCACTCTGCTGTTGAAGCTGGCCTTGAACTTGCAATGATACTTGTGCCTCAGGGATTACAGGTGTGCACCAGCATACCTGGCTCAATCCTTGCATTTTGTCTTTTTCATTTTTTGGCAGTACTGGGAACTGAACACAGGGCCTCTTTGCTGAGCTATAGCCCTGGTACTTCTCTGCATTTTTTATTTTGTGGCAGAAACTCAAGTTACCAACTTTTCCATGCCAGGCTCAAATATGTGATCCTCTTGCCTTTGCCTCCCAGTGTGCTGATTACAGATATTACCACCACAACCACTTTTATTTTATATCTGTGTGTGTGTGTGTGTGTGTGTGTGTGTGTGTGTGTGTAGTGCAGGGGACTGAACCCAGGGCCTTACGCACACTAGGCAAGCACTGACACTGAGCTAGATCCCCAGGCAGGTGGATACCTGTTTAAAGAGAATCCAGGCCTCCATGAGGTGGAGATACTCTTTTTGCTGGCTAATGAGTCTTCCACTAGGAAGTCTTCCATGTGGGAAGAACTGCAGGCTGCCTCTAAGAGCTGTGGCAGGCATCCAGCTACAGCAAGCAAGTCCTATAGCTCCATGGAAACGCATTTTTCCAGTTACAGGCTGAGCAGAAAGATAGTCTCTTCCTAGTTAAGTGTCTCAGAAAAGCCAAATGAGAATTCAGCCCAACAAATGCCTTGATTGCAGTCTGGTGAGACACTGCAGAGCGCCTATGTAAGCTGGATTCTGCACTGATGAGAGTATGCAATAACAAGTGTATGTTGTTGCATTGGGAGAGTAACTCAGTGACAGGAAGCGTGCTTAACATGCACAACAAGGCCCTGGGTTCAATCCCCAGCTCTTTTTTGGCTGGGGAGGGTTGAGACTGGGTCTCTCTATATAATCCAGGCTGGCCTTGAACTTGTAGTGATCCTCTTGCCTCAACCTCCCAAATGCTGGGTTTAAGGTTTGCACTGCCACACCTGGTTCTCAACACTTCAGAGAGAGAAAGAAAAGAAAAGAAAAGAAGAGAGAGAAAGAGAGAGGGAAAGAATGGAAGGAAGGAGGGAAGGAAGGAAAGCAAGCAAGCAAGCAAGAAAGAAAGAAATGTTGTTTTAAGCTTATTTTTTGTTTTTTGCGTTGGTTTTTTTTTTTTTTTTTTTTGAGACAGGCTCTTGCTATGTATTTAGGCTGGTCTTGATTTCATTATGTAGCCCAGGTTACCTTTGAACTCACAACAATCCTCCTGCCTCAGCCTCCTGAGAAGTGGGATTACAGGCATATTCCCACTTATCCAGCTAAAGTTACTTTAATTTGTTAGAAAATAACAGATAACAAGTCGGCCCTTCCCAAGTCTGGCCTTGGGAAGGGCCAGGCTTTCTTCTGTGTCTGGTTTCATTCACTTAAAATTATGTTAATGAAATCACCTGCAGCATTTTATCTACTTCTGACTAATACCTTCTTACTGTCGAGTATTCCAATGATATGAATATAACACAATTGACTTTTTTTTTCTTAGATCTACATTTGAGGGCTTTTTAAAATTTATAATTTTTATTAGTACATGTTTACTAATGACTACATAATCATATAACACATCTTAATTCTTTTAACTTTCCCCTTCTCTCCTTCCTTCCTATCTCTGAGTGTTTTATTTCTTTTTTGTTGCTTTTGTTTTTTTAAATTCAATTTAATTTTTTTTTTTGGTACTGGGAATCAAACCTAGGGCTTTGTACTTGCCAGTCAGGCACTGTGCCACTAAGCTACATCCCTGGTGCTTTTTTTTTGGTTTTTTTTTTTTTAGACAATGTCTAGCTGTGTAGCCCAGACTAATCTTGAATTCATTATGTATCCCAGAATGGCCCTGAACTCACTTTGTAGCCCAGACTGGCCTTCAATTATCAACCCTCACAGCTCAGCCTCCCAAGTGCTGGATTACAGATATGCACCTCCGTACTTGGCATCCCATAATAATGACCAAAGTCTTGGCAACCACAACAGAGCTACAAAACGCAACCATTATAAGCCGCCTTCCCTGTCATTGTTTCTGAACTTCATGTAACACTGTAATTAGTGGGTTCCATTTAAGTTGGAAATAGATTCAACTCTACATTTCAGAAGGTTCCCTTGGCCTCAGAATACAATGCAGAACATGTCATTCCTCTGATGTTAATCCCCTCTCCAGCCTGCTTCTCATCATTCTCTCCCTCAGTGCTCGGCTTCAGCCAATTCTCTTTCCACAGTTCAAGAAATACACTAAAGTCCTAGTTGGGTGTGGTGGCCAACGCCTGTAATACAAGCACACAGGAGGTTGAGTCAGGAGGATCATGACTTCCAGTCCACCCTGGGCTAAATAACAAGTTCAAGGCTAGCCTGAACTGCACACAACATTGACTGAACAACAAAGAAACACACTTAGGTCCCAAATGCTCTGGGATTTTGCTCAGAAGTCACCTTTAGCTGAAATGTTCTCACCTAATCTGCTCCTACCCACCCTAGCTCACCAACCTGACTAATCAAATCCTACACTTGTTCTCTGTTTAAATCCTTCTCAGTATGTCCCAGTCTCTCCCTCTTACTAATGCATTCTTATTTTGTGCATATGGCATTAGTAATTAAGCCCATCCATGGTCCCTGGCATGCTAGGCAAAGACTCCACAGTTGAGCTACATTCTAAGCTCATTTTACTTTATACATAGTCTTGCTAAAGGGCCCTGCATGGGCTTGAATTTGCAATCTCCGGGCCTCAGCCTCCAGAGGAGCTGGTACTACAGTTGTAGCACCTACTTCATTTTTATTACTGCATTCTTAAGCCTACAAAACAAATTTACTGGTATTTACTTAAAAATCTGTCTCATGCCAGGAGGTATGGTGGCACATGCCTGTAATCCGAGCACTCCGGAAGCGGAGGCAGGAGGATCCCTGCAAGATCAAGGCCAGCCTGGCCTACACAGTGAGTTCAAGGACAGCCTGAACCATATAAGGAGACTATCTCAAAACAACAATAACAAAACCCAAAATAAAGTTTTAAAAAAATCTGTCTTGTAAGTCCCATGGTGGGAGTATTACGTCTATTTGTTGTTTTGTTTTGCTTTTGTGGTGGGATAGAGTCTACAGAGCTCTGCCTATGCCAGGAAAGTGCTCTACCTTTGAGCTACACCCGCTGCCCGCTACACTGTACATCTATTTGCATGATCATTGATCTCCTAAGTCTAGCAGAGAGCCTAGCAGTAACACTAAATTTTAAGGAATAAATGGTTGTCTGTAGATTGTCTAGAAAACAAATATTTGCCGTAAAAATATTACAGTATAGCACGGCACAAGTACAAGCAACACACAATTAGTAAAAAAACAAAGCAAACAAAAAAAACGATTTATAATAACTATCCATCCTTAGTGCAAAATAAATGAAAACAAAAAATTTTTATTCCTTTGGAGACACGGTCTATGTAGTTCAAGCTGGCCTCGAACTCGCAGGCATCGTCCTGCTTTAGCCTTCGAGTGCTGCGGTTACAGGCGTGCAGCACCACGGCCGGCGTTTACGTGAGCGTACGCGTGTCCGCGCGTGTATGACTGGGATGGAACCCAGTAATACCTTAGCACTAAACTACATCCCCACCCTCTAAAAATGTTACAACAGGCTCTCGTTCAGTGGCTAAACTGCCCGGACAGCGTTAGAGTTTTGACACTTATCCAGTATCTCGCTGAGATTCCAGCGTGAAGCTGGGAAACAACGGGCGCGCCCCCAG